TGTCATTAATTTTAACCTAATATTGAGATGCATTAAAAATATAGAGTAATTGATTTGATTAATAAAAAAAACTTTTCTAAATCAAACATATGTTTTTAAAACTTATAAATAGTCAGAAATACTGATCATAGAACAGTAACTTGACGTTACTTTAAAAACTTGACGTGACTTATCTAAAAATGATTGCGATCGATGAAAAAAAATTCTTTAGATAAATATATAAATTTATGCACTATTTTTTCCTAGTAATTTTCAAAATAATTTATCACGATTATAGGAATGAACATTTAAATCAAAGAATCTAGAAATGTTTGCGATTTTTTAAAAAAAAAATTATATTAATAAAAGTTTATTGATAAATGTATAAATTTACACATTTTTTTTCATAGTAATTTTAATTATAAGTTACTAAGCTTATAGAGATAAATATTTAAATTAATGAATCTAGAAGTGTTTGCTATCTTTGAAGAACAGTTTTTTAGATAAATGTATAAATTAAAACTTTATTTTTTCACAGTTATAACATTTTGTTATACACGCTGTTGGGATTTTTCGACTGAAAACTTCAACGTACTCTAAATCAGATGCCCCTGCTTGCCACCTAGCTTACTTGAAATGTTTTTTTTTTTTTTTTTTTTTTTTTTTTTTTTTTTTTTTTTGCATTTTTACTTTTTTGTGTTTCCCTTCATGTTTTTTTTTTTTTTTTCATCTCAATTCTGAAATCACTGACATAGACCTAAAGATCTAAAAGTGTTTTTTCACTTAATTTTTTCGATGTTTATTGCCTTTATTTATTGAATTGTTCTCTTTTTAAATAAACTTGTACTGTAAGATTTAGAAAAAATATATTTTTTAATAAGTAAAAATTATATAACAGATTTTGAAATAAATAAAAAAAATATTTTGCTTTTCTAAATATTTAGAGCGAGTGAAAATATATCTGTTGAACAAAATATTTTAAATGTACATAGGGTTTTAATCATAAATATTATTTTTAATCAACTAAATCAATATGCAAACTTAATGTTAAAAAGATGAAAATTACTGGAATTTAGTTAAACAATATTGAAATTATATCAATACTAACTATGATGACAATATTCTTTTCAATAATATTCGAGAAAAATAAAATAATTTTGTTAAGTGCAAGCACTCTTTTTTTAAAATCGCAAACAAAACAAATAGCATTAACAAAGCATAGAAAGAAGAAATAGCAAACAAATAGCATATGAAAAGCATTAACGATAGCAAGTTACACGGAGGAAAAATTCTACTACAATTACAGTACGGCATAGCAATAACATAAATACATATATTGCGATTAATAAAAACTAAATATACGGTATTTAAACCATTCATTTAGTAATTTTTCCGTTCATATGGTAAAAGTTTATAGGAAATTCTGGTTTTCAAAATTGTAGTATTTAGTACTACATATTTAGTAAAAATAAAAAACTGAAAAGTAAATTTTTCCGAATAAATGTGTTTTATACCTTGTTCTAAGGTATCACGAGAAAATTACCAACGCTTACCACATTTAATGCCAAACAGCATGGTAATAAAACACCAAAAGTCATTACCAACGAGTTTCGATTAAAAAATTTCGTGATTTTAGTTTCCCCATAGAACCATGCCAGAAATACGCTAAATTTTACCATATTCTGGTAGTTTTGAACATGCTTTTTCTTCAGTGATATATTAAAGCTAAGAAGGAACAAAAACGTTATGAAATCTATCGAGTTACTAATAAGTAAGGCAGGTTTAAAAATCTTGAAAACCAATTCAATTGCCTGATGAAACTTAGAGGTGTTTTTTATAATCGGGTTTTGACTCAACAGGTGGCATTTTAACAGTTCAAACAGGTTTTGGTGTTTTTCCCCGCCTGTCTGACTAGTGTTTTGCTATATTTCGGCATTTGTTTGGGTTTTCTCGCTTAAATATTAATATGTGACCACCAATATATGTACTCCATTGGCATAACTTTTAACGATGATTCCAACAATAGGCCTTAAGGGTGGTCATTATGAAACACCTTGCGAATAGAGATGGGCGGTAGTTTCCATTAAAAGTAAAGGTGTACTTTTGTATGGTGGTTAATTAGTAAACACCGTGCTTAATAAATTTATTTAAATTCCATGTAACATTTATTTTCATGTTCAAATTTTTTTTCTTCTGTGAATTTTTAAGACGGAAAAAAAATTCACGATTTCTTATAAATTTCGGCTTTTGTTCCCTTTTAAAAATTTACAATTCAATCAAAACCCTGCTAAGTGTTCATGACCATAATGTAATTAAGTTTTAGAATCCTGTCCTGTTCTATTTCAAACTCAAATTAGAAAAACAAAGACATTTAGGAGAACTATGGAATTTAAATATAAATAATGAATTGAAGTTAAGAATTTAGGTAAGAGGTTGACAAAATTATGACCCAAATTATTTCCTCTTAGAAAAGATTTCATTAAATGTTTATTTTGAGTCGATTAACTTCGAAGTCATACTGTGTTATAGATAAAAGTAAAAATTGGTATCAAATCGTATGAATTTCATTATTCAATTTAAAAAATATTTCCACTGTATTATTGTGATAAAGAAGCTTGTAATAGGTATTTTTCCTTACTAATTAGTTTTTCTCTTATGACGAACTCAAAATTCTGTCAAACATTTTTTTATTTGAACTTTTTTTTATTTTTATTTTTTTTTATTATTTTTTTCTTTTTTTTGCAATTAATAACTTTATTTTTTTTTTCGTAAAACAATCTATTTGCAATAAACTATATGCGTCATTTTTGATACATTTTTATTTCATTTATATTTCATTTATATCAGCATTTTAAAAAACANTTTTTTTTTTTTTTTTTTTTTTTTTTTTTTTTTTTTTTTTTTTTTTTTTTTTTTTTTTGCAATTAATAACTTTATTTTTTTTCGTAAAACAATCTATTTACAATAAACTATATGCGTCATTTTTTATACATTTTTATTTCATTTATATCAGCATTTTAAAAAACAGTATATCTAACAAATCTTTTATTTTGTTTAAAACAAACTAATAATCTTTAATAAAACCGGTTGTTTTTCTATTTTATTTTATTTCGAATTGTGGTTACTTACTTTTTATAATTTTATAATTTAAATTATTAATGTTTCAAAAATGTTTAGCTGGAAGGAAAAAAGCAAAAGTATATTTTAAGCATAGCTTCTTGAACAGCATAACGGAAGATTTTCAGAGACTGCTTTTTTAAAGTAATTATAGTTAGATTACCAATCATAATATTATGAAATTGTATTTAAATAACGTTCATAATTTTTTTTAAAATTTATATTAAGTTTTTTTCATGCACATTTCTTTCTGCTACACTGCATATTGTAATTTTGGCTGGCAGAATCATAATTGCTGCCTTCAATATTTTTTAAATGATATTAAACTTCAAGCAATAATTTATTAATGATATTTTTAAGGAAGAGATAGTGATATTTGAATTATTAGAAAATCAACTTTCACACAGGGAAAAAAATTCCGATGAAATTATAGTAGTATATGGTAATAACATTCCTGGTAAAAGAGAAGCATGATTCTGACAAATAAAACCAATGACTAATAACAAAATACAGTATTTAAATTATTTTTTTGGAAATTTTTCCATTCAAATGGTAATGGTTTACCGGAAAGACTGGTTTTCAAAATTATAGATCTTATTACCACACATTTAGTAAAAAATATAAAACTGAAAAGTAAATTTAGTGGAATAAATGGTTTTAATGCCATGCTCTAAAGTATCATGAAAAAAATTGACCAAATTTTATCACATATTATAAAACCATATTTTATTTTTAATTTAGCCATAATTATTACCAAAGTGCTTCGATAAAAATTACTCAGCTTTTTGGTGTTCCCATTGAGCCCAAAACACGGTAAATTTTAACATATTCTCACCATGTTTTTTTCTCACTGTAGTACAGGGATGGCGAACCAATGGCACGCGTGCCATTTATGGCACCCGACACAATATTTTGGGCACGCCACCGATNAATTTTTCTCAGAGCATTGATATACCCTTCAATTATTGAAATAAGAGATTTATTAATCACTTTTTAATCAATAGCAGCTACAAATATCAGTGAATAACAGCATTTTTTACTCAGTTTACCAATATTTTAATGAAATTAATTTTTTTGAAAGAAAAGAAAGTTCTATACATAGTATTTTGAATTATACTTAATGCAATTATTTATTGAAAATCAGCATATAAATTCGAGATATACTTAAAATATGCGAGAAACAGCAAAAGCATAAGCCACATAAAAACTAAGGGTGTTTTCTCTTTGTTTTAAAACAGTTTGAGAAATAAATGTATCTTTTAAATTTATAAATTTTAATACACCTTACATTATTATGAGATACTGAGTGTTCCATTAAATGTTCCACACTTCAATAAAAATGTCCTATTTAATATCGAAATTTTTACTTAAAGAGATATTATATTAATATGCATGAAGCAATTCATACAATGGTTTTATTTGTTTGAATTTTTTTAAATCCAAAGTTCATGTCATCAAGTTCATGACTTTTTTAAAAAAGGATATAAGACTCAGTAACAGTGGTATCCATTCACAATTATTGGTTTTATTATTTTAATTTTTTTTAAATCATAAGTTTGTGTCATCAAGTTCATGACCTTATTACAAAAGAATATAAGATTCAGTAACACTGAGATTCATTCACAATTATGACAAACCATGATTGCAAGTTACATTGAAAGAACATTAATTTGCTAGCAAAGCCTCATTTACTACATGTGCTGTTTTGTGGATAATTTCAACATATCTGTCTTATTATTAAATAAAAAAAAGTCTTATAAAAAAAAGTCATAGAAGGAAAATTTCCATCAGAATTCAAATTTTTCTTTCTTGTAGGAACTTAATGTAGAATTAATTATATATTTAATATTATACATTGCTTATTTAATAAAAGTTTTTACTAAACATTTTTACTTCTTTTCCAGATGCTGTTTTGCTCCGTCAAAGCCGAGGAACGGTCAGTAGATAAAAGATATATTGCTGCATTAGCTAAAAACAATCGTCTCCCAAAGTTTAGTTATGTTCATAAAAAAAGTGAAGAATCAGATGATGAACCCTCTATGGAACAAACACAGTTATTCCTGAACCAAATAGTTGAACCTGATAATATGTATCACGAGAAAAACTGGGACGTTTCATCATTTCTTGAACCTTCTCAAAATGGTTTCTTAGAATCTTCTCCTCTATCGGAATTGAACTTTCTAGCTGACCAAGCTGTGGAGAAAAGAAATGTTGCCGCTTTAGCCAGACTCGGAAGATTAAATACAATTCGTTACGGTCGTTTTCAACCTCACTACGTAAATGGAAAGCGGCTTAGCAATGAGGACGATAATGAGGAAGCTAACCAAGAAATCACTGATAATGAAATTGATGGAAATGATATTGATTGCCTACCTGATGACGATGAGGAAACCCTTAGCGAAATAACTGCTGAAGTAAATGGAAGACAAAAGAAACGATATGTAGCTGCATTGGCAAGGTCTGGTAGGCTGCCAATTTGGCACTCTCAAAGAATGTGGAGTGGTAAACGAGACGATGCATACCCTTCGTATAAGAGCAATTCAAGGATGGATATTGAAAATAATCTCGATAACTTTATAGGTGAAGTGCCTGACTATATTAAGAAACTTAAGAGATGCAAAAAGATTAATCAATATAAAAGAGAAAAACGAAACGTTGATAAAATGAAGGAGTTAGAAGATATCCCTATTGAAAATATAAATCTTTCCGGTTTGAATAATCCTGAAGAGAAACGTAATTTGGCTGCATTAGCTCGAAATGGTAAATTGCCTTCTAGATATTTTGGAGATGGTAAACGCAGTGATGAAAAAGACACGTCAGAAGACTTTTCCGGAGAAAAGCGAAATATAGCCTCATTAGTTCGTAATGGTAAACTGTTCAACAGCAGAGTAGAGGGAAAAAGAAATCTCGCAGCTTTAGCTCGAAACGGGAAATTGCCACAGTTTGGTTATGAAGGTAAAAGGAACATTGCAGCTTTAGCCCGAAATGGTAAACTCTTTGCAAGCAGTAACATGGATGGGAAGCGAAACGTCGCCTCTTTAGCGCGAAATGGGAAGCTACCATCATTTAGTGAAAATAAAGGAAAACGAAATTTAGCTGCTTTAGCTAGAAACGGTAAATTGCCCACATTTTACGACAATGAAGGAAAACGGAATTTGGCTGCCCTCGCAAGAAATGGGAAACTTCCATCGTTCTATAGTGGAAACGGAAAACGAAATATACAAGCTTTAGCACGAAACAATAAGCTACCGGCATTTGAAAACGAAAAACGTGACTCGATGGAATCAGATGATAAAAGAAATTTGGCAGCTTTAGCAAAGAATGGAAGATTACCATCATTCGCTCATATAGATGATAAACGAAATATGGCAGCTCTTGCCAAAAATGGAAGACTACCAACGTTTCACAATGTTGATGACAAACGAAATATTGCAACCTTAGCACGAGATGGAAAGCTACCAGCATTTGCTTTGGAAGATAAACGAAATTTAGCTGCATTAGCTCGAAATGGTAAACTACCAATGTTTGATTCGAGAGAAGACAAACGGAATATAGCAGCTTTAGCGAAAAATGGGAAACTTCCAACCTTTTATTCGCCTGAAGAAAAGAGAAATATTGCTGCTTTAGCGAAAAATGGGAAACTTCCTTCATTTTATTCATCTGGAGAGAAGCGAGATATTGCAGCTTATGCACAAAATGGTAAATTACCTGCTTTCAACAGTATTGAAGAAAAACGTGAAATTATACCTGTCTCTGGAATTTATAACGAAGAAGATAAACGTAACATAGCTGCTCTTGCTCGTAAGGGTCATTTAATGCAATTAAATGACCAAGGAAAAAAACGCAACATAGCAGCTTTAGCAAGGAATGGTAAATTATATGGGTATAATAAAAGAGATGTTTATACCACAAATTCTTTGAATCCATTAGAAAAATGGGATGATATGATCTTTCAAGATGATATTGAAATGTAACTTAATATGAGCAAGGAGCTGCTGATAAAAAATACTATTACGTAAGGGAGGTAGTTTAGCATCATCAAAGAAAAAAATGATGAATACCAATACATGTCAAAGAGGACTGCTTTTAATAATATTTTTAATTCATTTATCAACTTATACTTTTAATTTTAAAAATTAGCATTTTAAAACCTTTCTGTGGTTTTAGACATTTTAAAAGGAATGAATAATCCATTAATTAGTTCTATCAGAATTTAAAACTGATTTAATTATATTTTTAAATGTACGTAAAAAATGTCATTTTATTTGATTTGTTTGTCAACAATTAAAGAAAATGTGCTATTGTTGTATATTTTCCTTGTACTTTCATATAGTTAGCTCAACATTGAATCAATTATGTGTTAATTATTAAACTGATGTAATGCATTAATGGGGATGTTTTTACTTTTAAATTAAAACAGTGGAAATCAAGTACCTTAAATTGAAGAATGCTGAAATTCAAAATTATTTTAACAGAATCTTAAAGATATAGTTTTTAAAAAAATGTAATTTTTTTAAATCAATCAATACATGGAAAATAGCATTTCAAAAATAAATTATATAAAATACTTCCATTGTCTTTTCTAAGCAGGAAAAGTAACACACACTTTAGCTCATGATTATGTTATCTACAAATTTATTCTTCATAATCATATGCAAATACACTTAAAGCTTTCACTCCTGTTTCAAAACAATAAAATTATTCTGTATACAAAGTATTTAGTAATACTTAATCTATATTTAGTTCTCAAAAATAAAGTATACACATTTGAGATCGATAGTTAGACTAGGAAAAAAACAAAAAATATTATTGGGGAAGGCGAGTTTCAAAACATCAAAGTTTGTTTGGTTACACAAGCAAACAGAAAAGGAGATGAATGGTAATTATTAGTAACATCTTTAAGTTCCAACTGGTAGTCAAATGAGCTTTGATGTGTAGCGTTTCTTCCACTACAAAAATATAATTCCAATTCACTAGTATATAAGACATGTTAACTCGATTCTATGGTGGGGTACCTTTTCATAGATGAAGGTTGACATTGTCGATAACAACTCACTCCCCACATTGGTGATCTTCGGACGTGATGTAAATATGTCTACCTTGACAGAAACTCCCATTTAGAAATGAACACGCCTACTTCGATGGATGGTCCACATTGAACAGTTGACTTGCAACTTGTGACTGCGACATTATCCCCCTCCTCGCACTGTTGCTTCTCAGTCTCGATCACACACTACGTACAACGCATACACTCGACTGCTAAAGGCAACACCAGAGCGACTATGACTGTATACTTAATACAGCTCTAACGATCAGCACTCAAAGTCCTGTGATCTTAATACAGCTCTCCCGGTTTCTCACAAAACAGCAATGAATCAACTAGTGGTATCAGTTCATCAAATTTTATCACAGATATAATTCTGGTGAGGGAGTACTGTAGCGTTTCTTACACTACAAAAATATAATTCCAATTCACTAGTATATAAGACATGTTAACTCGATTCTATGGTGGGGTACTTTTTCATAGATGAAGGTTGACATTGTCGATAGCAACTATCTCCACAGACGTTTTTAATCGCACTCGTATGATTTGAATTGCGTTTTTTTTTCCTTGCTAATTTATTAATTTCAGACCTTCAATGTATATGCACTTTTGAACAATATTCTAAAATTATATGTCAAGGATGGTGATTGCAGAACACCCTACATAATTAAATTGTTTCTTTTACATTTTGGTATTTTCCTCCAGCATCAATTTTATAAAACATTCTCAATTAAATTAACCCTTTGACGCAGAATTTTTATTAACCATATTTTTCATACTTTTTTTTCATTATTTTGTATTAATTTAGGTCCAAATAAGTGAAACATATTTTTTGACATTTTAATAATTTATGGTTATGAAATACAGTATAAAACACCGGTGTCTTTCCTTTTCTTCATTTTTTTTTTTTTTTTTTTTTTTTTTTTTTTTTTTTACATTAATTGAAAATCTCCCCAACACTTCTCACTTCCAAACATTAATTTTCAAAGCTATACTTATTTGCAGTTATTTAGATCTAAGAGAGACATAATTAAATTTCCTTTAATTTACGAAATAAATTATTGGTAAGGTTTTGAATATTAATGAAAAAATAATCAAACTACTTTTTTTTGGATTTTACATTTCAGTACAAATATAATTGCGATTTAACAGATTTTTTAACAGATTTTTTAGTAACTACTAGTCCGTTTTTTATAATTAAAAGATACACAAATATATTTTAGCTTGTAATTAAAGCATCAGAAAAAAATATATATAAAATTGACACCGGTGTCCCACCTGCATCAAATGGTTCTCAATTCCCATTCAAGATTAAATTTTTAAAAAAAACTGACAAAAAATCAATTTTTTATTATTTATTCAATATTGTAAATAACATTTTTTAAATGTTTCTAGAAGATTCGAAGTCATCTAATCCTCAATATAAAAACCACTCTCCAACGATTGTTAAAAAATTTGTTTCGAGACAATATAACTGTCTTAGAGCGTTTTATTGTGTGCAGAGCACAAAAAAAAAAAAAAAAAAAAAAATAAAAAAAAAAAAAAAAAAAAAAAAAANGCATTAATGGGGATGTTTTTACTTTTAAATTAAAACAGTGGAAATCAAGTACCTTAAATTGAAGAATGCTGAAATTCAAAATTATTTTAACAGAATCTTAAAGATATAGTTTTTAAAAAAATGTAATTTTTTTAAATCAATCAATACATGGAAAATAGCATTTCAAAAATAAATTATATAAAATACTTCCATTGTCTTTTCTAAGCAGGAAAAGTAACACACACTTTAGCTCATGATTATGTTATCTACAAATTTATTCTTCATAATCATATGCAAATACACTTAAAGCTTTCACTCCTGTTTCAAAACAATAAAATTATTCTGTATACATAGTATTTAGCAATACTTAATCTATATTTAATTCTCATAAATAAAGTATACGCATTTGAGATCGATAGTTAGACTAGGAAAAAAACAAAAAGTATTATTGAGGAAGGCGAGTTTCAAAACATCAAAGTTTGTTTGGTTACACAAGCAAACATAAAAGGAGATGGATGGTAATTATTAGTAACACCTTCAAGTTCCAACTGGTAGTCAAATGAGCTTTGATGTGTAGCGTTTCTTCCACTACAAAAGCGTTTCTCCCACAGATGTTTTTAATCACACTCGTATGATTTGAATTGCGCTTTTTTTTCCTTGCTAATTTATTAATTTCAGACCTTCAATGTATATGCACTTTTGAACAATATTCTAAAATTATATATCAAGGATGGTGATTGCAGAACACCCTACATAATTAAATTGTTTCTTTTACATTTTGGTATTTTCCTCCAGCATCCATTTTATAAAACATTCTCAATTAAATTAACCCTTTGACGCAGAATTTTTATTAACCATATTTTTCATACTTTTTTTTCATTATTTTGTATTAATTTAGGTCAAAATAAGTGAAAAATATTTTTTGGCATTTTAATAATTTATGGTTATGAAATACAGTATGAAACACCGGTGTCTTTTTTTTTCTGCGTTAATTGAAAATTTCCCTAGCACTTCTCCATTCCTAACATTAATTTTCAAAGTTATACTTATTTGCAGTTATTTAAATCTAAGAAAAACATAATTAAATTTTCTGTAATTTACGAAATATATTATTATTGATAAAGTTTTGAATATGAATGATAAAATAATAAAACTACTGTTTTTTGGATTTTACATTTTAGTGCAAATATAATTCCGATAATTTAGCAAATTTTTTAAGTACTAGTCCGTTTAACTACTTAACCGATTAACTACTAGTCCGTTTTTTATAATTAAAAAATACAAAAATATATTTCAGCTTGTAATTAAAGCGTCAGAAAAAAAATATATAAAATTGATACCGGTGTCCCACCTGTATCAAATGGCTCTCAATTCCCATTCAAGATTAAATTTTTAAAAAAAAACTGACAAAAAATCTATTTTTTATTATTAATTCAATATTGTAAATAACATTTTTTAAATGTTTCTGGAAGATTCAAAATCATCGAATACTTTAAAACTCACTCGCAAACAGTTGCTTAAAAAATTTGTTTCGAGGCAATATAACTGTCTTGGAGTTTTTTATTGTGCAGAGCACACAAAAATAATAAATAAATAAATAAAAAAAACACTTTAGTATACTTTTATCTTTTGATACTTTTAACAGATGATCGAATATTTTTTGATTTGATGATAGGATTTTCAAGTACAAACCACAACTTAAATATACTAATTAATGGCAGCAGATGCTATTTTGACTTACGAAATTGCACACAAAACCATACTTTTTCTGAATAGAACATGCCTTTGACCCTCAAAATATGGGGGTAGCCACAGTCTGAAGGTCCCAATAGTTTGGTAAGAAGAGTTATCCAAAGTTTGGACACTTCATATACTTCGCCATATCTTGAGAACTTTTGAAGCAAATCGAAATCTTTTTGCATACAGTTGTAAAATTCCATGCAAAAAAAGTAAATAAATAAATAAAAATTATAACAGTATTTAATCACTATTCATGATATTTTTTTAATAATTGTGCATTTTTAAACTATAAGGTAGATAATTTTTACATCGTTTAAAAATTGAAAATTGAAAGTGATCACCGAATAGTTCTGAAAAAAATAAGTTTTAAGTACATTACTNTTTTTTTTTTTTTTTTTTTTTTTTTTTTTTTTTTTTTTTTTTTTTAGAATTCGATTATTCGACCGATTGCGCTCATATTTTACATTTTGCCAACTACGTTCTTTAAAATGATGTAAAAATCAATAAACCTTATAAGTCAAAATGTTTCTAATATTATTAGATAATATAATAAAAAATAATAATAATTATTATAAAAAATTTATATTGCACAGAATTATCTTTGAAAAAAAATTTTTTTACCACTCTGTGCGAAAATTTTTGAATTCGTTAAAAAAGTTCTTAAGATAGGATGAAATATATAAAAAGTGAAATCAACATTGAGGAGTTGAAACGATTGATCGCTCTCCTGATCAAACTGTTGAGACCATATTTTCCACTTGTGTAGCTTATAATTAAATTTCTCTAGTATTATTAAAAAATTATAAATAATTATTAAAAAATTAATTTTTTCATGGAATTATCTTTGCATAAACAAATGTCCTCATTATGTACAAAAAATTTTCGACTCGCTTAAAAAGTTTTGGAGATGTAACGAAGTACGCAAAACATGAGATTAACAGGAAGGAGTCCAAGCTAGAGTAAAATAATTGCAACAATCAGTCCATGGGATTAACCATAGGAATACGGTTAGAAACATATCTTTTGCTCTACGGTTTTGAAACCGATAACAACTGGTACAATTAAAAA